ATTTAAGTCATTTTAAAGTTGATATTATATTAAATAATGTGTATTATGTACAATTAAGAAAAAATTTATTATCTGTTTCCAAAATAGAAAAGCATAGTTTATAGATCATCTTCAAGAAAGGGGAAGTTAAAGGTTTCTAACAGACCAATGAATTGCTTATGGTTGGGCATAGAGTAGGGTCCCTTTATTTTGTGGAATTTAAAGTAATATTTAATGATTGTTATTATTTGGACTAATTTAGAAAATAGTCATTGTCAACCATGCATTCTTGATAAGATTACACGCCTTCCTTTTAATGGGAAAATGTATAAGATTAGGAAACCCTTAGAACTAGTACATACCCATGTTTGTTCTGTTAGCCCTTCTATGTGGAACGGGTATAAACATTTTATTACTTTCATAGACGATTTTACCCACTTCACCGCAGTTTACTTATTAGGAGACAAGTCTGGGGTTTTTGAATATTTTATGGCTTATTATAATTAAGCTAGTAATTATTTTGGTCATGGTATATTGAAGTTAAAATCAGATAATGGTGGTGAGTATATTTCTAGAAATTTTAAATCCTTTTGTGATGAAAAGGGCATAGTATTGCAGTATACTGCTACATATAATCCCGAAATGAACAGAGTAGTTGAAAGATTGAATCATACTCTGACTGAAAAGGTCCATGCATTATTGTTAGATTCACAGCTTCCTAAATAGCTTTGGGGCGAGGCCCTGCAATATGCGGTATATGTCATTAATCATAGTCCCACTGCTTCCCTTTATGTTACACCATTTAAAATGTGGGAGGGAAGACGTACTAATGTCTCTAATTTTAGAATATTTGGGTTATCTGCATATGCCCATATTCCCCAAAAACTCCGAAATAAGTAAGACCCTCGTGGTGTGAAATTGAAAATGTTTGGGTATGCTCCGGGGGATACAAATTATGGGATGCTAATGAAAGGACGATACGCATAAAACGAAACATATTGTTTTGGGAAGAAACATGTTCAAAGTCCCCTGAAGCTATTATTGGTATTGAAGTAGAATCTGTCTTGATTAGGAAAAAAAAAGATATTAGGTAGTAGTAGTCCTGAGAAGAACCAAAATCCCTTTAATTTCAGACAAAACCCAAACCCATCGTACTGAGTTCAACTTCTGATAATAATTTAGAGTCATTAAAACTTGAGGGAAGGAATACAGATAATGTTAATTCTAGGGAGAAAGGAAAGAAAACTAAACCAAAATATTTACAAGATTTTGTCACTGATGATTAAGATTTAGGTGATATATTAATGGCATCATTTTAATCTTGTTCTAATGGTAATGTCTCAGAAAAGTATAATGATATAGATTCTTATGATGATAAACATAGGTGGTATGAAGTGGTAAATGAAGAAATTAAATCTTTGGAGGATAACAAGACTAGGGAAGTTGTAGAAAAACCAAAAGATTCTAAGTTAATTGATTGTAGATGGATTTTATAAAAAAGGCGGGTGGTGTATATAAAGCTAGATTAGTTGCAAGGGGTTTCAACACGAAGGTAGTTTTTCCGTAATTTATTATCCCGTTTTGAAATTACAAACTCTCCGAGTTCTTTTATCATTAACTGTTCAAAAGAACTATTTAATTTATCAAATGGATGTTAAAGGTGCTTTCCTTCATGGTGAAATTGATGATATTGTATACTTAAAGCCCCCACCTGGTGTAAATATAAATAACAATTATGACTGTCTTGAAAATTAAAAAATCACTTTACAGTCTTAAAAAATCTTCAAAAAATTGGTACAGTAAATTTTATGAAAAGGAAAGGGTTTCAAAATGCAGAAAGTGATTATTGTTTATATTTTAGGGATGGTATTTACATTTCCTTATATGTGGATGATTTATTAATTTTAGGTTAGGACAATTCAAGGATAAATAATTTTAAAGAAATTTTAAATACAGATCTTAAAATGAAAGATCTAGGATCTAAAATTTAAAATATCTATATTATTAGAATATTGACAAATTTTGGTATATCTGAAGCAAATGCTAGTGAATCACCCATAGATGTTAATGTTAATCTTGATGATTGTACAGTTGATTACTCTTTAGAGCATAAGTGCAGAGCTTGTATAGGTTCTATATTGTATGCTGTAGTGTCAAGTAGTATCAAGACCTGATTTGTGTGCTGCTGTTTTATATTTAGCAAGATATCAATCTAGACCATCAGAAAGGTTATGACAATGCTTGAAAAGGATTTTAAGATATGTTAAGGATACTATTAATTATAATTTAAAATATAATAATTGTAATTCCGAACCACTAGTTGGATATGCTGATGCTAGTTTTGCTGTAGATAAAGAAAGGAAATCTATGACTGGTTATGTATTTAAAGTATTTGAAAACAGTGTTATTTGGCGTTGCAAAAAGCAGAGCATATTTGAGCATATAGTTATATTCCCTCAATGAAGCCGCTCTTGAGGCTTGTCGGATTAGGATACTATTAAATGAGTTAGACGTTAGTTGTAATACCACTACCATATATATGAAGACAATAAAAGTACAATATTTTCTGTATGTAATCCTGATCAAAAAAGAATGAAGCATGTGGACGTAAAATACAACTTTATTAAACATAAAATATAATGTAAGGAAATTTGTGTTATGTATATACCTACAAAGCAACAAATAGCGTAAGGTGTTAATTAAAAATGATTTATTGTATATAATATAATATTGTATTGTAATGGCAACAATGCGTCAGTTGTGAAGGAAAGTTCAGTATGAGGTTATATCCTCTCCATGTCGTTGTTGTTTGAGATATAAATAAAAAGTACGTTTTTATGTTCCAATTATTGTATCTTTAATCATCCCCATAATCCTTAACAAAACTAACTTGCCGTCATGAAATAAAAATACTATACTAATTGCATTAGACCCATAATAATTACCACAGTTTAAAGACTTATACCTTATAACGTTCTTAGCATATCCCCTATGTACAACCAATGCAAGTGCTGACTGAGAGCTGGGCTGAGAAACACACTTAAGATTTAGTATAAAAATGAATCAGTAATTGCTACACCGATATAAAGTATACTTTAGTTAAGAGTAGGTGTACATGTATTGTATTTATACACTCTGTTGTTTATTAACAGTAGCTAATAGCAGCAGTTAGCCAATATTTTGTTTGGTCGTCGAAACATAGCAAGGCGGTCCTCCACTGACATGGATTAAAATTTTGACCATTAATCCATGTGGTATTAAGGCTTATACTCTATAAATAATTAATATTCATTCAAACACAGTCTAGTCTGTAGGCATTACAGTTTAGGGGTTGGGTTTTCTATTTTAAATTTATAGGATGAGAGGTTAACGACTTCAAGACCCTGCTGCCGGCACTGTATTTATTAAAGGTTAAAGTTCAATGTCTTGACTTTAAACGCAGAAAACACTGTCTACATACCTTTCTCCACGCGAAACACCTCCTCACCAACTCCTTAGCTTTCTCTGATTGCGCATGATTACTGCAATATTGTCCTATGACATTGCCCTTCACTGATTACTACCAATATAGTTAAATATCTTGATATCCTTATAGATATCAATCTTTCATTCCAACCTAATGTTAATTTATTTACTGCGAGCTTGAGGAATCATATATACGTTTTTAATAATATAAGGAATGTGGCAGATCCTAAATTAGTTAAACAGATCTACTTGGCTCTTGTACTATCTATAGTGGGTTACGCCCTTACTGTATGGGGAGGTGCACCAAAAACCACTATTAAACCCCTTGAAATAGCTCAAAGAGCTATTCTTAAAGTAAGCACTTTTCGCCCCTATTTGTTTCCTACGTATACCTCATGTATCAGTCATGTGAAGTCCTGTCAGTTCGCCAACTGTTCATCCTGCACACTATTATGAAACAACACTTAAGCTCTGATAGATTCACCATTTCCAAGCACCGCAGAGATATAACCTTCCCCAATAGACCAAAATTTAAAAATCAGTTTGCACATAAATTTTTCCCTTTTTGGGTCCATATCTATATTCTAAAATCTTCCCCAGTAGATCAACATTTAAAAATGAATTCACACATAATTTTTTTCCTTTTTTGGGTCCATATTTATATTCTAAAATCGTTAGAGTGCCAAAGGAAACTATTTGAATATATTCATAAACTGAACAATAAATGTACCTCATTAAATATTATACTCATACACAACCTTTTACACATTCACACACTATCATACTACACACAAGGAGGCTTACCTACAATACAAGTATAAGTTATTGATTTGTGATCTTTTTGTATACAGTGAAATTAAAGGGCTGCTGTCTGAAACACAGATATTAAGTTATCTAGTTCAGACACAGATGTTCACTAAATTGTATTTATTGTTAAGCTGTATTTTAAATTGTTTGTATCCAACAAAATATGATATTCTTTGCTTGAAATAATAAAATTATTATTGTAATATATATAATCATATCTTGAACACTCAATAGCCTTAGTCTTTAATCAAGAACCTGATTTAGGTAGTTGTTTGTGTCAATTACCAGATGTGAGTAAAAGAGGTTTTTTTATAAATATCCGAAAATAAAAATAAACAAGTTTAATAAATTATTATATTTTTAATATATTCACATCAAGAATTCCTAATTAAATAAATGTACTAATATAACTGTAACTAAATGTAATATTAAACTTAATTATTAATGTTTCAAATTTAATAAAATAAACTACAACAATTTGTCTTGATTATTAAAAATGTACTAATAATTAATAATTCTTCATTTTTAGTTATCATAAATCTAAATTTAAATTTTACAGAGATTTTAAAAGTAATCTTGATAAGAACTATTCAATGTTCCTGGGAAGAGCCAGCTTCTGCCTGAGGTTTGTTTTCTTTCTTTTTTTCAGTCTTCTTTGGCAGAAGTTCTGGATGGATTTTTGGCATCACACCCTTGTAATATTGGAACACCTTTCAGTATTGTACTTAATAAACTTGCCTTACCTACTTCTACCATTGTCTGACTGCCTTTGCGACTTTGCTATTTAAACTTTCTGCAGTCAAACAGTCTAGAGCTGCTCTTAAGTACGCTAATGATTCACGTCTTATCCGTCTTGGATAATAGCCTAAATGAAGAATCTTAGGTGCTTTTCCAATAGGGAAATTTAGCCCAGAGCGTTTGCTACGAGGCTTATATATTTTTTTTTTAATTGTGATTTTCTTCATCTTGGTTACCTCAAATTTCTTGGATTCTGAAATAATATAGCAAAATATAATAATAGTCAAATTATACTCTTAACTTTAGCAATACGGTTATACGAAAAATAATAAATTAAAAGAACTTCGTACTGTTGATACCACGGCCTGTCCGTGTCCGGGCGTGGTATCAACGGTTTTTTTTTATGCTTAATAAGATACTTTTCTAGCTTGATAGATATACTACCACATAGAGTGATTAGATTAAGCCTAATAGATTAGAATAAGCCTAATAATTCTATGTACACCATAAAAATGAAAATCAAAATTATTAAGTAAAATACTTACTAAATACCATTTTTATATGACAAATGACAACTAAAAACGCGCGAACACGAATACTGTTACTCCTATGAATTGTGAACCGCAAATAAAATCATAGATAAATAAACATGTAGAGCAAGGAACATACTACTCTCTAACGAGAGATGTAGAATAAAATTAATAATGTCTATTGTCTACTGGTCTACGTAAAATAACGGTAAGATAAACACACCATAGAGCATCAGTGTTGCCAACTTTATTTTTATGGGATCGTACCATACACCTATGAAAATCGCATTTTGCTAAGAACTCTTGAAAATAAATAGTACGCATTGAAATTCCAATAAAATAACACTAAATGATTCAAGTAAATAATGTTGCGCGCCTAAGTTGACGCCATGTAGTGTCAGGAACGAGAGCGGGGGGGGGGGGGGGGGGCTTTCCAGAAAATGACATCACTAATCTTTCAACCGACAGCGCCATCTGGTGTCGAAACAAAGAACTAAGCTTCTAGAAGCCGACACTCGAACTTTCGGCGCCTTGTCGATTGGTGCGCGTATTTACTTGAATGTTCTGGATGTTTCGGTGCGAATGTGTATTTATAGGCGCTGCAAGGTGCGATCGGGGAAGTATTGAATTTGGCGAGACAAGCGAAGCTTCGGAGCGAAATAAAGTGAATCAGTGTGGTTAATTATTAGTGTTTTAAGTTTTAATTAGTGTAAAGTAAATTAGTGTTAATTTTAGTAATTCAATCGGCAGTTTTTATTGTCACGAACCCTCAAGCTCGTAACAATTGGTGTCAGAAGTGGGATAAAATCATGCCGATTTTACCTAAGGAGGAAACGGAGGGTGTCCGTACCCGAAGTCTGGTGGTGCAATGCCGCAGACGTCGGAGGGCCAGCCGCCGGCTGCAGGCCCGTCAGTAGCTCCTACATCTACAGCACCTGACTTAGGTGCTCTGATGGTGATGCTGCAGGAGCAGGCTCGCCGACAGGAGGAGCAGGCCCGTTGGTTGAAAGAGCAGCAGGAGGAACAGGCTCGCCGACAGTTCGAACAGGCTCGCCGACAGGAGAAACAGGCCCGTTGGTTGAAAGAGCAGCAGGAGGAACAGGCTCGCCGACAGGAGGAACATGCCCGTCGGTTGGAAGAGCAGCTCAAGCGCGATAAGGAAGAGCAGATGCTCCTCATGAAGGACATTCACGCTACCTTCGGGAAAGAGATAAGGGAGGTGAAGGATAAGGTTGCTCAACATGACAACCGCCTGTCGGAAGCTGAAACCCGAATTGACCAAGTGAACAATCGGGTTGACAACGTAATGGCTGACATGAAGAAATCACTGGACGAACTCAAACTTGGGGATGGAACTACAGCTCCCGTAGTAGCTACTACACCTTCGCTACGTGGGTTCAAGGTGCCACCGTTCGACGGGACTTCTTCCTGGTCAGCCTACAAAATCCAGTTCGAGGCTGTTATGAAGGCGAACGGCTGGAATAAAAGTCAGGCCATGACTGCTCTCACACTAGGCCTGCGCGACCAGGCCTTAACAGTTCTGGAAGCTCTCGGTGAGGAAGTGACTTATGAGCAACTCCTTGAGGCATTGGAGGCGAGATATGGTGACGCTCACCTGGAACACGTCTTTCGTGCGCAGCTTAGAGATCACGTGCAGCGCATCAACGAAAACCTGCAGCAGTGGGCTCTAGAGGTGGAGAAGCTGGTGCGAAAAGCATACCGGTCTGTACCTGCGCTCATTGAAGGGAACCTGGTGCAGACATTCATCGACGGCATCCGCGACCTGGAAGTCAGAGCTGCTGTGAGGCTCTGGCACCACGAGACGCTTAAGGACGCCTTGGCCCATGTACTGGAGGTGGAAGCCGTGTAGCAGGATCATCATTCCCATCGCGTCAGGGAGGTTGCAGCAGCTACAGTTCGCGACCGCAACATAGGATACAGCCCTAGGTGCTATGGCTGTGGGGAAAGGGGCCATCTTCGATCCAGCTGCCCTAAGCGAACTGTAGAAAGGGAAGTTGATCGATCTCGGGAGGGTAGTGCGGCCAACAGCACCGCCCAGCAGCAGCAGGGAAACGAGTAAAAGCCAGAACTGCGGGGCGGGTGCTCGCTGATGTTAAAAGAGCCCCAAGGATCTCGATCTCACAAACCCACGATGGGAACAGTCTGATCTTCAAGGGCGAGGTAAACGGAATGCCGTGTAAACTGACCATAGACACTGGAGCCTCTCGTACGGTTGTTAGTTCCCAACTTATAAGACAGTTCCTTGGGGACTCCGCATACAACCGAGAACGCATTAATTTGGTAACAGCCACTTGTCAGCGTATACCCGTCCGTGGAGAGAAGGAGATGGAGTTGAAGCTAGGCAACGTGATCTACCTGCATAATGTCATCGTGGCTGATATAATGGACGACTGCATCCTGGGCCTAGACTTTATGAGGAATAACTGTTGTGAGATCAACGTTAAGCAAGGTGTTTTGAAATGTGGACAGGAGGAACTTTTTATGGAAGGTGCATTAGCAGGGAACGTGTACAGCATTAAGAAGATTGTTCTTCCGCCGAGATCGAAAACGATTGTTCCGGTTAGACTTCCCCGAAACGCTGGGCACGCTCACCGTTGTGTACTTGTGGAAAGGGTAAACAATGACCTTCCATGGAAAGTAGCTCGAACCTTGGTCAGAACCACTGACATCTCAGGAATACGTGTGCTGAACCTTTGTGACCGGGAACAGATTATAGAAAAAGGCACGCTGGTTGGTACTTGTGAGGAAGTGGATTGGTTACGTCGGTGCCAATATCTATCGATTGAGACCTCCAGCAAGGAATCTGGAATATATTATATATTTATGCTAGCTAAGGAAAAATAATACGTTATGGTGGGATGATGAGATACGTACGGAAGTTGAAGCAAAGAAGAGAGCATGGCTAGATTTACTAGCAACTAAGGCTGGTAATTCTAGCGGTACGAATGATGATTTTGAAAGAAAAAAGGCAGTCTTTAGACATCTAAATAAAAGAGTAAAAGAAGTAGTTGAAAGGAAAAAGCAAGAAAGAACGGATAAGAATGATAGAAGAATATCGGATAACTTCCAGGCAAATATTAAAATGTTCTGGAAACTCGTAAGAACTGCCAGGGGATGTTCAAAACAGCCTATAATGAATGCTATAAGAGATGAGAATGGCTATATTCTGAATGATGAAATTTTGAGTTTAAAGAGATGGAAGGAATATTTTGAAAGCATGTTTACGAGTGAGGAGACAACGTATGAACTGAATGAAATAGGAACTCCGAAAGAAGAGGAAGGAGGTAGCGAGATAAGTATAGATGAAATAATGAAAGCAATGAAAAGCATGAAAGCAGATAAGGCTGCCGGATATGATAGAGTTTCACTCGAAATGATAAGGGCTGGAGAGGAAGTGGTGGCAGGCCTGCTGCACACCTTGTTTAATTTATGCTGGGAACTGAAGCGGGTACCGGGAGACTGGTGCAAAGCCGTGATAGTCCCAGTATATAAGCGAAAAGGGTCGCAGCAGGACTGTAAAAACTACCGCGGTATCAGCCTTCTTAGCATCGTGGGAAAACTGTATGCCAAGGTACTAATTGAAAGGGTCATGAAAGAAACCGATGGAAAAATTTGGGATGTGCAATGGGATTTAGAAAGGCAATGGGATGTACAGATCAAGTCTTCTCCATGCGCATGATCGCGGAGAAGTTTTTGGCCAAAAACCAAAAGGTTTTTTGTGCGTTCATGGACTTGGAGAAGGCCTATGACAGAGTGGATAGGAATGTGCTATGGCAAACACTGAACTCATTTGGGTTGAGCGCTGGCTTGATACAGGCATTGGAATCTCTTTATAGGGACTCTAGTGCCTGTGTTAGGATCAACGGGGTCTACTCGGACTTGTTTGGCATCCATAAAGGTGTCAGACAGGGCTGTGTGGCTTCCCCGTGGTTGTTCAACCTATTTATGGACAGTTGTTTGCAAAATTTGAAAGTTGAAGAATGCGGATTAAGAATGGGTGAGTTAACCATCAAATGCCTTTTGTACGCCGATGATCAAGTTATTCTTGCGTCGTCGGCGGCTGATTTGCAAATGATGGTTACATTAATGAACAGATCATTAAAAGAAAGGGGTATGAAAGTGAACGCAAGTAAGACAAAAATTATGGTTTTTGAAAGAGATGAAAGTAAAACGATATGTGAAATAAAAATAGAAGGGGAGTTGATCGAGCAAGTAGATGAGTTTGTATATTTGGGTTGCGTATTTAGCAGGGATGGGAGATATGATAAGGATATAGAACGACGAGTGAACGCAGGAAACAGAGTAAATGGAGCCCTGCACTTTATTGTGAAGAGTCAAAATGTGTCGAAAAAGGCACGTATGGCAATTCACAATGCTGTGTTGGTCCCTACTTTAACGTATGGTAGTGAAAGTTGGGTGTGGCAGAAGAAGCACGAGAGTAGAATAAATGCAGTAGAAATGCGGTCGTTAAGGAGTATGTTAGGGCTGAATCTGAATGACAGGGTGAAAAATTGTGTGATAAGAGAAGAGTGTGGTTTGCAAGATGATGTTGTGACCAGGATCTTCTTTCTTAATAGAAAGGAATGCTTCGGTGGTTTGGTCATGTGGAAAGAATGGATGAGGAAAGAGTGACAAAGAAAATTTATGTTGCAGAAGTGAATGGCAGAGTCGGAAAGGGACGTCCTAGGCGAAAATTTATCGACCAAATTGGCGATATTGAAAACGGGCCAAATTAGGAGTACCCTTAACCGACGAGCATGCATGCGTAGGTGTATGGATGTGAAGGAGGCGAGAGAGGTGTGTCAGGATCGTGCCAAATGGAAGTCTGTAGTCTCTGCCTACCCCTCTGGGTGACAGGCGTGAGTGTTTATGTATGTATGTATGTATGTATTTATGCTAGCTTCCAAAGGCATTATGACTATGTCGACTACTGGGTTTGATTTCATATCCGATAATTCCGATGAAGCTACTGACGCTTTAGTATTTTTATTGGTTGGTATATAC